CATGTATCTTCTAATAAATATTTGTTTCACATTTTTTTATGGATTCTGAGTTTTTAAAACTAGAAGCTCTTAGTATTTATGAAAAAAGCTTGTTGCAGCAAAGTAAACTTTTATTGGAGGTTTAATTTTTTTAAATAGTTGTTCCTTTTCTGTAATGATTTGTTTGACCCCAAATAGAAAACAAACTTAAGACAGAATTGAAAGCTCAAAATTACCAAAAGCATTCCTGTTCACAACAAACATACTGTATTTAAACCTTTGTTCAGATTGGTTGGTGCCATTTCAACATAATTAAACCCGTATTTGACATTTATTTAGATTTTTTTTTCATGTCTTCCTCTTTAGCTGAATCACTCGTATCGGGAACTTCTGGAAAAGAGGAAGGATTCTGAAAGGGATTCTCCTCTGAGGTGATTTACAGATGTGTAAACTTTTGGTTTAATCTGCATGTTGTGTTTCAAAGAGGAAAGCTGTAAATTATCAACACTTTAATGTGAAACTTGCAGAAGCTACTGGAGTTTATAAAAGGGAACCTTAATGTTTTTAATGTATGTTCTTTTTTCAAATGTTACAAAGATATTACAAATATGAAACTGTTAAAGTCTGATCTGTAAAACATGCATAGAATCAAACATATCAATCTGTTTTTTTATCTTTAATATTTTTGAAAACCCACAAAAAGTTTTCTTTAACTCTTCTTGTTGCTTTTAGGAATCATGTTCATCCCAAGAATTCAGATCTTCCATCCCACCAGCTGCTGTCAGATTCCACTTTCAGCAAAAAGGTGAATAAATTCACATTCACTGCCTTTCTTAAAAGCTCTATTTAGGATTTTTGCTATAAAATAAAAGCAAGCTGTGCTCTTCTTTACAGATTATTCAAAGACCACATTCAAACTCAGGACCCCCACATCTGGATGATCTTGTAGCTGAGGAGGAAAAAGTGAACCATGTTGATCCAGAGACGTCTTCAGATCAGTTTGTCACAGACATCATAAGCTCCACACCTGAGCTGACACAGTTTCATGTCTGTGTGAAAGCAAGGTAATCTGAAACTGGAAACTAGATGGCTCTTATTCTGGAATTCAGATGTAAGGCTTTGGGATTATGTAATTGTTCATCAACATGCAAGTGACAGTGTTTTTGCCTGTGTGTGTGTGTGTGTGTGTGTGTGTGTGTGTG